TGGGTCGAATTATTGATTCAACTCATAGTGCTTCCTCCAATCGCACATAGTTCAGCTACTAAGTCGGATCTTTGATTCATCTCACACAGCTGACATTCACGTACGATTCAGTCTCATCGGTTCGGCCCGAACGATTCATCAAACAGTTCCGTCGTCGCAGCGATGCCGAGCGAACCCCGTCGGCCGGCCACTTCCTACCCATCGGTCAAGGCTGGCTGGTGGATATCTCCCGGCCGACGCGACTCATAATTGTTACGCAATTGGAAATTTCTCCCGTTGGGTTGCTTTCACTCTCCGTCCAACGGGGGAGAGGAGCCGGAACACGACCGGAATAAATGGCCGTGCCCTTCCGAATAAGGGAAATTGCCGCCCCCCTTTACTCGTTGGCGGGGGAGGGGGTGGAAAAAAGAAAACCTTGATTATTATTATTTAAATACCCGGGGGTGAAATTAATAAAATCCGGACCGGGGAGCGCGCCCCGCCCGATGTCCCAGGACTGTGCGCCCGGGTGAAACCGAACAGGAAATTCCTGTGCAATGGGATTTTGAAGCACAGCCGCTCGTCTCCCGTTCCTGGCGCAAAACTGTGACTGAGGGCGATGACACACGGAGCGGTTTTGACCGAAGCGTTTACCGCGAGAAAAATCGAGGCGGTGAGTCGTTCATTGTTGTTGCATTTAACCTGACAGACGTAGCGGTCGTAACCGCCTGTCGGTTTTCAAACCGAGTCGGTCGGTGGCGGAGACGACCCAACGCGTCGGTTTTGAAAACGCCAGGCGGTGAGTGGTACCCAAGTATTGCATCAGCCCTGACACACGTGGCGTTTATTTGAGCTGTTTTTCTTGTTTGTTCCCCACTTTCTTGAGGGGTTGTTCGTTTGTCAATCTTCTAATTTACTTTTATGATGCAAAAAATAGACGTGGAGAAAAAAATTTGTAATGCGGCATTTTATTTTACTATGTAACTCGTCAAAACTGCCCATTTACAACCTGGTAATGTTAAAACATTCTTCAGGGTGTTTCCTCATCTCTGAAAACAAATTCTTAAAATGCCCTCTTTCGCTTCTCTTCTCGACAATTGGATGAACCCACATTCTCCTGTGTTTTTTCTCCATTCTCTTCTTCCAACGATAGTACAACAGACACCAGAAGTATCTCTTCATCCATGGGAACTCCATGGGGAATGGGCCAATGCCAGTTCAATAAGATTAATAAATAATAGAATTTTAGCTAATTCTCAACTTCCTGACGCCTAAGCTTTACATATTGATACTTAACCACCACTAAAAATGGGGGGGGGAAATCTAAGTATTTACAGATTGTACGGTGCTGTACAGTAACACAACCGTTTTTAAAACGAACTCACCTTCCTCCAGGGCCTCTTTTAACTTTACAACTACTTGAAAGTACATCACCTTATAATTAAATGATTTCTACAGCTTTACGGGTACAAAGTATGCGTATGACTGTCGGTGATACATGGTAGTAACTAGTTTAATAAAAATTTTGTTTTGAATATTATCTGGAGGAGGAAGGGGACCTCGTTCAAATCCCAGCTCTGTGCCTTTTAAATTATAGTATGAAAAATGAAAAGTAGTTTAAACCTTGCTTGACTCTGAACAGGAATTACTTTACTTTTATTGATCAGAGAGGATTGATTTTTTTTGTTGGGGGGAGCGAAACGGGAATCGAACCTACAACTGCAGGATCTAAGCCGAGAGTCTGACACGCCTACTCAGCTACCCGAGATCCCAGTTAAATATAAATCAACTTAAATATTTATTTTTAAAGACTATTTTTCAAAACTTCATAGAGAAAAGAAAACCGAACGAGACGTAGTGTGTAGATAACTGTGAGATTTCACTTTGTAGCCAGTTCCATGGAATGTTCATCAAAGAAAAAAAAAAGTACTACATGGGGGAATAGTCTGTAATGCTGTAACTAATACACGAAGTTACATACAGTTACAGAACAATATATTTATTAAACAGGACTTGTTAAACAAACTGCAAAACCTTGCGACGTTCAATGCTTATATGCACTGCTATAGGATACATTTAATAACTGAGAGAAAACAAAACCGCTTCGGCCAAAACGCACATCATACCGCTGCGTGTGTCACAACGAAGCGGTAAACGCTTCGGTCAAAACCGCTCCGTGTGTCAGCGCCCTGACTCAATCGTTCGTTCAGTACACCACTCAATCGTTCATTCATAACAAATAATAAAATAACAAGGAAACTACAGTATACAACAAAGGAAATACGAGAAAAAATATCGTGTAAACTCGTAACAATTTTTTTTCTTTTAAATTATTTTATAATAACAAACTTCCTTTCGTTACTAAAACAACCTGGCTGTCAGTGAATTAATTGAGACTCGTGCAAATCACGAACGTTTCAGAACTGAGTTGGGTCATCCTCCATTCGGTCATTTGAGGTGGTTGTTTACAGAGTTTGTATGTCTTTTAATGAGTTGATCGATCGCTCACTGACTTATTCGGTCTTTCATTGAGCCGCTTAGTCGTTCATTGAGTTGATCGGTTATTCGAGGTGTAGCTGGTTGTTCGTTGAGTCCGTAGTTCCTTTAATGAGCTGATCGTTCGTTCGTTGAGTACATCTGTCGTTTAATGTATGCTGAGTCAGTTGGTCCTCACAGTTGATCAGTCCTTAGTGATCGGTCACTCGAGTTGTAGGTAGTTGTTCGTTCAGATTGTTGGTCCTTTAACGAGTTCGTTGAGTACATCGGTCTTTTCTAATTTTATTAACCATTATTTATGCAGTTTTTTTTGTTCTTTTTGACAAAACCGTAAATGTTTGTATTTCCGCTGATAGAAAATAAGTAAACGCCAAGGATAACGCGATAAAGACGTGAGACACGATATCCTGAAGCTAATTATCCAAATGAATATAATCAAATTATTTAAAAAAAATCTGCGATCCTCAGCGTGAGAACGGCTTACAGCATTTTCCCTATAATTAATTAAAAAATTGTTTTTATTTGTATCACCGGCGCAGGTAATCGTAGGGCCAATTATATTCTAATTGACGGACAATGGGTGATCGTCGCCACGCCATGGGATTCTCAGCCGAGAAAATCGGGTTTTAATTGGCTGTTGACGTTTTTATAAGTGTTAGAAAGTGAGCGATTCGCAGACGTTTGACACGCCGTTGGGAAGGTTGGGAAGAATCGACCTTTCCTCAGATCTGCTCGTTCTACGTCGGTCGTTCAGTGGGCTGTTGTTAGTTGGGTCCATCGTACTCAAAGAGTTGATAAGTCGGCCGTACTTTCAGTCTGTTGTTCGTTCAGTGAATCGTTTCTGTCTTTCAATGAGGCTATTCGGTCATTTGAGGTGGTTGTTTGTTGAGTCGTTGGTTCTTTAATGAGCTCATTAGTTGTCCGTCGAGTTATCGGTCGTTCATTGTATGTTGAGTCAGATGAGTCGATCAGCCCTTAGTGAGTTGTTCGATCGATCGTAGTCCCGGCCGGCTCAAATTTATCTTATTCGTGGATTTTTGAACCATCGCGTTCACCTGCGGTCCGTTCGCAGCCCCGCCGTGCGAAAGGGAGAGGAGTTTTCACTGTAAGGTCACTGGGGTCCCATTCTAGACCTTGTGTTGCACTTATTATTGTTTTCTTTCCTTGCACCAAAATAAGTACAATCGTGTCAACATGCGGTTAATTATGAATAATTAATATTATTAATATAATTGCAATTAATGTTCTAATGAAATAGTGGACACTCTTGACCAAACAATTATCGTGAATCATCACGAATAAAAACTTCCTATTTACATAATTTTACTTTTTCAACTGGCCGAATTTGAAAAAAAAATGCACCAATTTGGAGGCGAAGGAACGATCCAATGAATGGAAATTCGACCGAATTACTGAATGAACGATTATTGATTCACTTAACGAACTACACGGTGAATGGTCGGCCATGTCGATGAACGAACGATTTGCAGACTGATGAATGAACGGCGTGTTACCTCCTGAAGCCTGATCAACTAACTCAAAGAATCAAATAATGAACGATCGAATGTTCCCCACTGATAGTATGACTGAATGAGTCATTAAACGACGGAATGCTCGCGACTGATTGATTGACCTACTGAATGAGTCAATGAAGAGCTACTCCCTCAAAGATAAGTTAACTCAAACGACCGAATGCTCTTGACCGTTCGACATACTGAACGAGTCAATAAACGAGCTATTCACTCAATAAACTATCGAATGCTCTCGACTGATTGATTGACTGACTGAGCGAGTCAATAAACGAGCTACTCCTTCAATGATAAGTTAACTCAATAAACGACCGAATGCTCTCGACTGATTGACTGACTGAACGAGTCAATAAACGAGCTACTCCTTCAATGATAAGTTAACTCAATAAACGACCGAATGCTCCAGACCGTTCGACAGTCTGAACGAGTCAATAAACGAGCTACTTACTCAATAAACTACCGAACACTCTCGACTGTTTGATTGACAGACTGAACGATCAGTAAACGAGCTACTCACTCAATAAACGACCGTCTGCTCTCGACTGATTGATTGGCTGTCAGAACGAGTCAATAAAATAGCTATTCACTCAATGATAATTTAACACAATAAACGACCGAATGCTCCCGACTGTTCGCCAGACTGAACGAGTCAATAAACGAGCTACTCGCTCAATGATAGTTCAACTCAATAAACCCAACTGTGTTCACTTAATTATAGGATCAGTCAAGTAAGGACGCTATAAAGTATTAATAAATAAATAAACACTTGTAAGCACTTCGTCATCATTTCTGCTTTAGAAATCCGTCTCTCTGTTGTCTCTGAGAAGTCCTTGAGAGATGGAAAATCCTTGGGGGATTCTATTTAGAAAATGGCACAGCCTCGTAACCCCTTCTTTCGCCAGGATAGAAATCGTTGATTAAAAAAAAATAATAATAATAAAAAATTCTAGCTATAATCGTCTGATCAATCATCATATTCCACTCATTATGTTGCAGGTACGGTTGAAAGGCGGCACGATGGCCACCTTGGTCAGGGACATCACGCATTGGTACCACGACCTCATGTACAACAGAGGCGGTGAGTAATTTATCATGATTATTTTCTATTTATTGTTGTGTTATTTTTTTCACGATATGACACCATGGTTATTTAAAAAACGCGGAAACTTCGGGCCTATCCCTCCCAACAACGGACGATCGTCCCCAGAGAAAGCGGAAGGTCCGCCGCTCGCGTTGCGCAAGGGGATCCCGCCTTGTGGTGATCTTCTGCGGTCGAGAACGAAGCCCCCCGGCCCGGTATTTCCGAGCAATTGAACCTCTAATCTCTCTACACTTTTATTACGGAAAAAACCCAAATCCCGAAATAGTTGATGACTCGCCGACTCTGATCACATGAGGGCCGGGTCGAGTGGGACGGGGATTATTACACCAGGGGGGGGGGAATCATCGCGAGATAAGGGATAAAAAGTCCCGACGGGGCACGGCAAGTAAAACGAACCCATCATGGCAACCCCCCCAGGAGAACTTTTAATATTGCAATAAAACCAAGAGTCTTAGAAAACCGGTCACAAGAACGTTGACAAGTAAGATGAACAACGACCTGCCAATAGCCAGTTACGTTGTCATTCACCTGTCGTTCAGTAGATAACTCGATCGATCGTTCAGTAGACCCCACAATCGTTCGTTCGGTAAATCGGTTATTTGTTCGTACGTTAGCTCACGCATTAGTTCAGTTGATAACTCAATCTTTCGTTCATTAGATTGTTCACTTGTTCATTCATTAGATCACTTAGTCCATTGTCAATCGGTGGTTTCACTCAATGAGACATCCAACCGTTCGTTCGTTCAGTCAATTATTAGCCTAAGTTTATTTGATCAGTTAGTCACCCAATCGTGTGTTAAGACAATTATTAGTCTTAAGTTTATATGATCAATTAGTTACCCAATCGTGTGTTGAATCAATTGTTAGCCTACGTTTATTTGATCAATTGGTCACCCAATGGTTCTTTCAGTCAATTATTAGTCGGTTTGTTCACTCAGCGGATCACTCAAATCATATGTTGAGTCAATTATTAGTCTAAGTTTATTTGATCAATTGGTGGTCATCCACTCGTTCTTTCAGTCAATTATTAGTCGGTTTGTTCAATCAACTGATCACTCAAATCATGTGTTGAGTCAATTATTAGTCTAAGTTTATTCGATATTGGTGGTCATCCACAAGTTCTTTCAGTCAATTATTAGTCGGTTTGTTCAATAAACGGATCACTCAATCGTGAAGTCAATAATTAGTTTAAGTATTTTTGATCATTGAGTCACCCAATCGTCCGTTCAGTCAAGTGTCAGTCGGTTTGTTCAATAAACGGATCACTCAATCGTGTGTTGCGTCAATTATTAATCTAAGTTCGTTTGACCATTGAGACATCCAGTCATTTTTTCAGTCAATTATTAGTAGGTACGATCAATCGTTCTTTTGATCAGTGTTGGTTCATTGACCCCGTCCGTTTCTTAGTTCAGTCAATGGCTAAGCAGACCTGTCGTTCGGTCTGTTGTCCAGACAGTCAATCATTAACCTGTTCCCTCAATTGATGATTCATTCGGTCATCACGCCACCGTCTTCGGGTTTCCCTTCGGCACGTGCGCGTCCCTCATGCCCATCGGTCCGAGTTAAATTCCCGCTTTTTCTTTTTTCATTATTCGTTATTTTTTTTGTTTTTTTTTAAATGTTTTCAGACGAAAGGACGAGCGGATGGCCGATGATGGCGACCCCGTTGCCCACGTTGATCGTGTGCCTCTGTTACGCGTACTTCGCCAAAGTACTCGGCCCGGCGATGATGCACAACAGGAAGCCGTTCAAGCTGAGGAGGGTCCTTATATTCTACAACCTCTTCCAGACGATATTCTCCGCTTGGATCTTCTACGAGGTGGGTGGTGACGTTTTTCTTCTTTTTTCTCCTTCGAAGACGAGAGCGCAATATTCAATCAGAGTCATTGTCTGGCCCATTCACATTCACCGGCGTCGCCCGTCCGTCCAAGGCGAAAGTCGTAAAACGACGACGGATCGGAATGAAGCACAGCAGAGGGATGGGTCCGCGGAGCCCCGCTCTGCCCCCATGGGCCCCGGGTGATTCAAGGCTGCCCTGTGCCCATGGGCCCGAGGTCGAAGAAAGCACGATTGTACGTGACGCAAGAGTGAGAGTGATCTTAGACCTTATCTCCATCTCTCTCACTCTTTCTCGCTCACTCTCTCGCTCTAAAGCACAACCTCAGACCGAGTTACGCAACCTCGGACCGGCCGACCGGTCTGGAAAGGCAGGAATAGGAAGAGGAGCGAAGGTTAGCCCCCCTCACACACAATTTCTCACTTTCACCTTGTGTCTATCTTAATTAAAAATATAAAAAAATGTTTCAAGTATGCACGATAAATGACTTCCAACATGCTCCGGTGTGGTCAACAAATCCGGCTTCCGTACTGTTCCCGCTCGATTCTTTTAATTTTACAAAAAAAAAATCTCGTGTCCGGAAAACCCGAACCTATCGATTGTATTCAAATTGTAATTGAATAGAGGAAATAGTTTGCGAAAGAAACACGACCTGTTTTGCGTTTTTTGGAACGGTCCCTTCCGGGCTGCGTGAACCCCCTTGGATACCGTAAATTAAACCGTTACGTCATTAATAGACCGGTTCGGGTATTTTGCGGTCTTATTTTATCGGTTTTGGTTTTTATTTATTGGTGTAACATTGTATGTCGTTCGGTGGTTCTGTTAGTCGATAGTTCGTTCAGAGTCGTCGATTCGCTAGCTTGGTCAGCAGACAGTTCAGCTCGTAGAGTTCGATCGTTCGTTCAGTTAGTAGGGGTCGGTCAGAATCGGTCGTTCAATGTAGTCGGTTTGCTAGCTTAGTCAGCAGTCAGTTCGTTCAGCTCGTAGGGTTTGATCGTTCGTTCAGCTCGTAGGGTTCGATCGTTCGTTCAGTTAGTAGGGGTCGGTCAGAATCGGTCGTTCAATGTAGTCGGTTTGCTAGCTTAGTCAGCAGTCAGTTCGTTCAGCTCGTAGGGTTTGATCGTTCGTACGTTCAGTTCGTAGGGTTCGTTCAGAGTCGTCTGTTTGCTAGCTTAGACGACAGTCAGTTCGTTCAGCTCGAAGGTTTTGATCGTTCGTTCGTTCAAAGTCCATCGTATTCTCCTTTTCAAACTAGTTAGTTCGCTCGGTCAACCAGAAAGTTCGTGGCTTTCGACGGTTCAGCTAGCCGAGCGTTTGTTCAGTTATTTGTTCGGCTGTTGGATTTTGATCGTTCAGAATCGTTTGAACGCTTGCCCAGCCAACCATCAGTTCGTCGATCGTTCATCTCGGCGATTTAGTTCGTTCGTTCATCGCTTAGATTTTGATCATTCGTTCATAGTCGTTTGAACGCTTGCTCAGCCAACCATCAGTTTTTAATTAGTAGTAAGTTAGTATCGGTTCGCACGATCGTTCAGCTCGGTGATTTAGTTCGTTCGTTCGTTCATAGTCGTTTGAACGCTCGCCCAGCCAACCATTAGTTTGTTAATTAGTAGTAAGCTAGTATCAGTTCGCCAATCGTTCAGCTCTGTGATTTAGTTCGTTCGTTCGTTCGTTCATAGTCGTTTGAACGCTCGCCCAGCCAAACAACAGTTTGTTAATTAGTAGTAAGCTAGTATCAGTTCGCCAATCGTTCAGTTCGGTGATTTAGTTCGTTCATCTCTTAAATTTTGATTGTTTATTCATTCATAGTCATTTGTACACTCGCTCAGCTAACCATCAGTTGGTTAATTAGTCGTAACTTTGTATCAATTCGCCGTTGATTCAGCCCTTAGATTTTGATCATTTTTTCATAGTTGTTCGAAAGCTCTCCCAGCCAACCATTGATTTACTAATTAGTCGAATGTTTCCTATCGGTTCGCTGATCATTCAGCTTGGTGATTTAGTTCTTTCGTTTGTTCAATCAGCCAACCCCATCCACTCTGCATGTAGTCGCCGATTTATTCAATTTAGCCTCCTCATTCCATACATACTTTCCATTTCCCCGCCCCCATCAATTCGCCCTTCATCCAACCCCCTTTTTTTCCTTTTTGCAATCTATCTATCTTTCAATTGCAATCTAAAGTGCAATCTATCCTTAAATAGATTTATACATTTTTCACTCGTTATTTTCAGTATTTGATGAGCGGTTGGTGGGGAGATTACAGCTTCAGGTGTCAGCCAGTCGACTATTCAAGGAGCGATAAAGCCATGCGGGTGAGTCTTTTATTGTTTATTATTATTATAGTAAGGTGTAAATTAAAACAAAAAAATTAAAAATTACTGTTTTTTCTTTCTAGATGGCGATGACATGCTGGTGGTATTATTTCTCAAAGTTCACAGAGTTTTTTGATACGGTATGTAATAAATTATTGTTAATAGTTGACCAGCGTCTGCCGGTCACCAATCTTTTCATTCCATTTGTAACATTTATAAGTCAATTGTTTGTACAGTGAGTCAATTATTCGGACTCTAAGTAGAAGTCAATTGTTCGTTGTTGTTTTTTTTCTCCTAATCCAACACGTATTTTATCCTCAATCAACCTTGTCAACTGGGGGGGTGGGATCGGTGGGAAAAGAATTCTTGTACGCGCGAACAATTAGCGCACCAGTGTGAAGCCTCGCCCTCATGACGTATCACGATTGATGTTCAAACGCTTTGCTGATTTTTTTGCAGCTTTTTTTCATCCTGAGGAAAAAGAACGAGCACGTATCTACGCTGCACGTCATCCACCATGGCATGATGCCGATGAGCGTATGGTTTGGCGTGAAGTTCACACCTGGTAAGCGTGATATTATTTTGATTATTTTTTTATATAACTTTATTTTTATTTTATTTTTTTAATTTAGGCGGGCACAGCACGTTCTTCGCTCTCCTGAACACATTCGTACACATCGTCATGTATTTCTACTACATGATATCGGCAATGGGACCTGAGTACCAGAAGTACATATGGTGGAAGAAGCACCTCACGACTTTCCAAATGGTAAAATAGGCCCTAGTTTATCGCCCTGATGAAATTATAATTTTGAAAAAATTCCAGGTCCAGTTTGTGATGATATTCGCCCACCAGTTCCAGCTACTGTTCACACCGTGCGACTATCCCAAGTCGTTCATGGTGTACATCGCCCTTCATGGCGTACTTTTCCTATTCCTCTTTTCCGATTTCTACAGGGCCAAGTACAGGGGAGGAAAGCCGAAGAACGACGGCGTCTGCATGGTCGTGTACAACAACAACGGGACGACGGTAATTGACAACGCATATGATCTTAACGACTGAGACTCTGAGGCCAAATCGGCAGATTAAAAGTGCAATTGAATGAACAGTCAGTGTGAATGTATGATTTATTAAGATTTGAAGTGATGGAAAAAATGAACCGTTGAATGAGTGAAATTGAATTATTGATTTATTGAGTGACGGAATGAATGAGGAACTGTTTGTGATATGTGACAGTCCCAACAAATGAAACGATGTTGGGCTGAATGATTTATCGTCATGGAATAATTGAATAAATGACCCAGTGAATGAGGAGCCGATTCTTTGTGAGAGTCAGTCAAGTGAGAGATTGATTGAATTAAAAATTGATTGAACTAATGACCCAGCAAACGAGGGGCTGATTATCGACAGTCAGTTGAGTGAATGAATGAAGAACAGATTTCAGGTGTGAATGATTGATTTATGGAACAAATGACTCAGTGAAAGAGGAACCGATACTTTGTAAAAGTGTATTGACTGAGTGATGAAGTGAATGATAGAGCCATTGGGCAAAGGAGTAATGGAACGAACGAAGATCTGATTCTCAGGGGAGTCAGAGCGAATGAAAAACGGATGTTGGGTGTGAATGATTGATTTATGGAATTGTAAGTGGACTACGGCGCGGCGGCCGAATAATCTCTCAATATTCGCTTGCTTTTCTCTAAGCGACAAGAGATGAGTTGGTGTAAGCGCGTCGCTACTTATTCTTGTGTAGGGGAAGGTAAGGTTCTAGAATTCAATAAACCAGAGAGCGTATTCATTAACATTTATTGTACACAATTCCATCTCGTAACAGTACCCAAACAACAGATTTAATTAATCTAAACGTCAGCCACAACTCTAAATCTGGGATGAGTCTATCAACAAAGGGACTTACCCCAAATGACGCTTGCGCACGATTAGTGTCCACTGCATCTTGTCTCTCGACTGTTGACTTGGCTCAATGGGTCGCAACGGCTGGCTCTGGCTGGCTGAGTCCTCTTGTTGAATCCCAGGTTCTCTACCGGAGGAGGGGTGGAAAGGAAACTCAAAAGTCGCGGGAGTTCCCATGCCGCGGGTGGGCCGGCGAAGACGGATGTCCCGCACTGGATTGACACGACCCCAATTTACGATGTCTCACGAGGCTACATATTTTTGACCGTGTGACAACCCTTCAGCACTAAATATGTTTACCCTAATTTGTTCTTATTTTAACAACTAAAACTTATCCCTAAAACGGGGACCGGCTTACAGAATGAATGACCTAGTGAATGAAAAGCTGATTCTTTGTGGGAGTTGGTCAAGTGAGTGATAGAGTGATTGATTGATCCATTGAATTAAGGATTGGTTGAATTAATGACCCAGCGAATGAGGAGCTGATTCTCGATGGAGTCAGTCAAGTGAATGAATGAAGAAGTCAGGTTTTTGATGATTGATTGATCAAACAAATGACTCAGTGAATGAGGGCCGATTCTTTGTGAGATTCAGTCAAGTGAATGATAATATGAATGAACAATGGATATCGAGTGTGAATGATCGATTTATGAAAGTATGGAATGATTGAATGAATGACCAGTGAATAAGGGTTTGTGAGATTTGGTCGAGTGAGTGAAGGATAGATATTTGGGTGTATGATTGATCCATTAAGTTAGTAGTGATTGAACGAATGATGGAGGTGATTCTTGAAAGAGTTGGTCAAGTGAATAACGAAGAATTGATTTCAGGTGTGAATGAGAGTGATTATGGAATGAATGGCTCAATGAATGAGGGGCCAAATCTTTGTGAAAGTCGGTCGTCTGAGATATGAAGTGAATGATTGAATCATTGAGTTAAATAGTGAATTAACAAATGCGGATATAATTCTAGAGGGAGTCAATTGAATGAATGAATGAGAACTTATAACTGGTGTGAATGAGTGATTTATGGAACGAATGATCCAGTGAACATGGGGCCGATTCTTTGTAAGAGTCGGTTGAGTGAGTGATGGATGAAAGTTAGAATAGATGATTGAGCCATCGAATTAAGAAGTGATTCTTTGTGAGAGTAGATCGAATAAGCAATGTTGGAATGAATGATTGAGCCATCAAATTAAGGAGCATATGAATGAATGAGGGGTCGATTGTGAGATTCGGTTCAGTGAGTGAATGATAGATAGGGTGAATGATTGATCAATCGAGTTAAGTAGGTATTGAACAAATGAGGGGTTGATTCTCAAGAAAGTCAGTCGAGTGAGTGATGTTGAACGAATGCGGAGATAATTCTCGAGGGAATCGGTAGAGTGAATGAACAAAGAATTAATGTCGTGTGTAAATGATTGATTTATGGAATGAAAATGACCCAGTGAATGAGGGGCCAATTCTTTGTGAGGGTCGGTCGAGTGTGTGATGGCGTGATGTTGGAGTGAATGATTTATCCTTCGAGTTATCGTGATTGAATGAACGACTTCTTGAGCATGTAAGGGAAAGTACAATAGAGTGATTGATTGAACTAATGTCCCAGCGAATGAGGGGCTGATTATCGACAGAGTTGGTCGAGTGAATGAATGAAGAACAGATGTCAGGTGTGATTGATTGATTTATGGAAGAAATGACTCAGTGAAACAGGGGCCGATACTTTCTGAAAGTCGATCAACCGAGTGATGAAGTGAATGATTGACCCACTGGGCAAAGGAGTGATGGAACGAATGAAGAGCTGATTCTCAGGGGAGTGAAGTGTTTCATGAATGAAAAATGGATGCTGGGTGTGAATGATTTATAGAATGAATGGCCCAGTGAATGAGGGGCCGATTCTTTGTGGGAGGGGAGTTGGTCAGGTGAGTTGATTGATTGATCCATTGAATTAAGGATTGATTGAACTAATGACCCAGCGAATGAGAGCGGATTATCGAGGGAGTCGATCAAGTGAATGAATTGAGAATGGGTGTGGGGTGTGAATAATTGATTGACGAAATTATGGAATGATTGAATGAATGACCCAGTGAATGTGGGAGATTGAGTTGATCGATTGGAAGAATGGATGTTGCAACGAATGAACGATCAGTCGAGTTAGGGAATGGTTAATGATAAATTGACTCAGCGATTCACTGATTTTCCTAGTTATCAGAATTGAGTGAAGGATGATTGCACTGATCAAATGAACTATCGACGGTCAAACAACTCGGTTTTACAAAGGCGTTTCTTTTTTTCAGGACAAATCCAAGTACAACGACGAGAATGGGTACACCAAGGCGTACCCGACTCACTTCACCTCGTGCTACAGCCATGGCGAGGGGAACGGGTACCTGCCTCCGACGGCGATGGCCGAGTCGGACAAGGACAAATGATCGAAGGCGCGTCGGCGGCTGTGGGTAGGCAAAGCGGAAGATGAGGCGACGGCCGTATTTCGACGACACGGGCGAGAGGAGAGATGGGGGAGGAAGCGCGGTTGAGGATCCTGTCCACTCGACCGACCTAGGGAAAGACACAAACACAAAATTCTTTTCTTCTTCTTTTTTATTTTATTTTTGTCCATTTTTGATGTTTTTTTATTATTTTTTTATTATACATAAATAATATAATTCTTTTTTTTTTTAATTTTAGTATTAACTTTTATTATGTTTTATTGTCTTATTTTTTAATAATTAGTTTATTGTTAGCCAAACAGAGAGAGGCCATTTCAAAGACAATCAAACCTCACTGATGATGTACATTTTTTCTCTTTTCTCCTTCCTCTCCCTCTATACCTCCCTCCCACTCTCTCTCTCCTTCTCTCTCTCTCTCTCTTTCTTTCATTCTTTTTGTACAAAAGTCTGACAAGCTTTGTAAATATTGTGTAATAAACAAATTTCAATGAACAAAAAATCCAAAGTTGTATAAAAAAAAAATGTTAAATTAATTAATTATATAAAATAAGTGAATATAATAATAATAATGAAAATTGCCTTATATTGTCTCTTGTGGTTTATTATTTTTATTTTTATTTCTTTTTTTTATAATGGGCCCCGTTTTAATTTTATTGTGAATTTTTTATTTTGAGCACCACGATTTTCGGAAGAAAAAAAAAAGTATTTCTTTTTATATACATATACATATAGGTACAAAAATATAAATATATATATTTATAATTAAATATAAATATATATGTATAATATAAAAATGAAAATAATAAATTGTCTATTTAAAAAAAAAACTTACAATAAAACAACATAAACAATTACTTAAAAAAAGTTATTCATTTATAATCCTGTATGTTTGAAGATTTCTTGCATCGAAGGAGGAGAGAAATGGGTATTCGTCGTTGAACAGAACGAATGGGTTGGGTGGGTCAATGACTCATTGAATGAGATAGAAACCAGATGAACTGAATGATGTACGGTTCAGTGCATGAACGACCAGCTTACTGAACTAATTAATTAAGGTTTTTAGTTGAGATAAAAAAGTCAGTGTCATGAGTAGGATTCGAACCCACAATCTTCGGCTAGATATGCCACTACTCTACCACTTGAGCTATCGTGACTTCGATCCAATTGGACACTAACTTTCCACCTTTTGAATTTTCCCTCCTTTTAATCTCAACTAAAAACTAGAGGTTTTATCCTAAAAATGGAAAGTTATAAGGTTTTAACCTTCAAACAATAGGCTATACTCATGCTTTTATCCTGATCTAAAAGGTGTCTTACTTGAGGTTATAACCTAAAGTAAAAATTTATAATTTGTTGCTTTTAGGCTAAAATCACAGTTTAAACTTGGCGGAGTCTAAAATAAAAAGTTTAGCCTAAAATAAAATTTTACACACGAAGTTTTAGGCTAAAAATAACTGATTATCTTGAGATTATAGCATAATTTTTTTTACATGAGGTTTAGCCTAAAATGAAGGTTATATTCGGTGTTTTTAGGCTAAAATCAAGGTTTATGTTTGAGGTTTTTACACTAAAATAAAAGTTTAAACTTGAGGTTTCAGCCAAATAAAAAGTTAGACATGCAATTTAGCCTAAAATCGAAGGTTACAATTCATGTTTCAAGGCTAAAGTCAAAGTTTATACTTGGTTTTTAGCTAAAATAAAAGTTTAAACTTGAAATTTTAGTCAAGCAAAAAGTTAAATATGAGGTTTAAGCCTAAAATACTTTTTTACATGCGTTTTAGATTAAAAACAAATTAATACGTTCATTTATGACTACTAAATACATATTTGGACTAAAATGAAATGTTATTTTGAGGTTGTTGCCTAACTCCAAAGGTTATAAATGAGGGTTTAACCTAAAATCAAAATTTATTATCTATGTTTGTAAACTAACAAAAATAAAAAGCAAATGTTCAAATGTTTTAATTAGGGATTTCAGCCTAAAATAAGAGGTTATAATTGTGGTATTAGCCAAAAATAAAGGTTATAATTGAGGGTTTAGCCCAAAATAGAAAATTTTACTTGGAGATTTCAGTCCAAAATCAGAGTTTATAATTGATATTTTTAGAATAAAATCGAAGGTTGTACTTGAGATGTTCAGCCTAAAATAAAAAGTTATAATCTTTGATTTTAGAATAAAATCAATGTTTATACGCCGATTTTTTAGCCTAAAATAAAAGTTTAAACTTTGTTTTAGCCTAAAATAAAATTTTATAAGGCTGTATTGATGGCCTTTAGGCTACGGTAAAACGTTATAATTGAAGTTTTATACTAAAAGTTTAACTTCTATAATTAATTTAGGTTTTTAGTTGTGATAAAAAAGTCAGTGTCACGAGCGGGATTCGAACCCAGCTAGATACGGCTACTCTACCACTTGAGCTATCGTGACTTCGATCCACTCGGACTTTTTTATCTCAACTAAAAACCTTAATTAATTGAAATATATTAATTGGTCAAGCGGACCACGAAAACTAGTGAATTTAATGAGTTAAATGAAGTATATCTTCACTTAAGATCTCCGTGGCCATTTCATTTGTCGTCGAGAATCCAATAGATTACACATTTGAAAACTGGCCAAAAGGAGGGAAAATTCAAAAGGTGGGGTTGAGGTGGGAAGTTCGTGTCTGAGTGGATCGAGGTCACGATAGCTCAAGTGGTATCAGCGTATCTAGCCGAAGATCGTGGTTCGAATCCCGCTCGTGTCACTGACTTTTTTATCTCAACTAAAAACCTTAATTAATTGAAAGATATTAATTGGTCAAGCAGACCACGAAACTAGTGAATTTAAAAAGGAATTACTGAACTAACAAACATCTGATTGAGTAATTGGACGAACTAAAGGCCCACTAGTGGGGGGGGACTGACAGAGATTAATTCACTCAATACCTAATGAACAATCAACTAATTGAACTAAAGATTGACTGACCCAGAGATTAACTCACTCAAATACCGAACGAACGATCCACTCGTTGAATGACAGAATGAACAAAAGACTAACTGAACTAAAGATCGACTTACTGATTGGCAGACCAAGATATTGACTCACGCAATAACCAAACGAACGATTCACTCGTTCAATGACGGAATGAACAAAAGATCGACTCACTGATTGGCAGACCAAGATATTGACTCACGCAATAACCGAACGATCGATTCACTCGTTCAATGACGGAATGAACAAAAGATCGACTCACTGACCGGCTAATCCAGATAGTGACTCACTCAATAACCGAACGAACGATCCACTCGTTCAATGACGGAATGAACAAAAGATCGACTTACTGATTGGCAGACCCAGAGATTGACTCACTCAAAACCGAACGATCGACTCGTTCAATGACAGAATGAACTAATGATTGGCTGACCCAGATATTGACTCACTCAATTATTGAACGAACGAACGATTCGTTCAATGACAGAATGGCTTAATGGCTGACACAGCGATTGACTCCCTAAATAACCGACCAAACGGTCAACTCGTTCAATGACGGAATGAACAAAAGACTAACTGAACTAAAGATCGACTCACTGACCGGCTAACCCAGAGATTGACTCACTCAATAACCAAACGAAACATCGACCCGTACAATGACAGAATGAACTAATGATCGGCTGACTCAGATATTGACTCACCCTATTAACGAACGAACGATCGATTTGTTCAATGACAGAATGGACTAATGATCGACTGACTCAGATATTGACTCACTGTATTACCGAACGAACCATCGACTCGTTCAATGACAGAATGAACAAATGATCGACTCACTGACCGGCTGAATCAGAGATTGACTCACTCAATAACCGAACAAACCAACGACCTGTTCAATGACGGAATGAACAAAACACTAACTGAACTAATGATCGACTCACTAATCGGCTGACCCAGAGATTGACGCACTCAATTACCGAACGGACGATCGTCTCGTTCACTGATAGAATGGACAAAAGACTAACTGAACTAAAGAACGATTTAGTGATTCACTCAATTACTGCACGATACATAGACTCGTTCAATGACAGAATGAACAAATGATCGACTCACTGACCGGCTGAATCAGAGATTGACTCACTCAAAACCGAACGATCGACTCGTTCAATGATAGAATGAACAAAAGATCGACTCACTGACCGGCTGAATCAGAGATTGACTCACTCAATAACCGAATGAACGATCCACTCGTTGAATGACGAAATGAACAAAAGACTAACTGAACTAAAGATCGACTCACTTAATGGGTGAACGATACTTTTACTCATCATGGAATTAACTTCTTTTTTACACGAGAAAGTGTAATTAATTGTACGACAAAGGATACATTTAAGTAAGAACGATTCTCCGAAGGCCATCACGGCCGCCTCGAAGGACTTAACCCCTGGGCTTAAATTTTTCCCGTCCAAACACATCAAAGAAAATGGAGAAAATTTCGCGAAGGTGGGCGGAATTTTTTGTGCGTGCAGAAATTTGTCTCGTCAGACTTTGTCTTTTGCATTTTTCAACTTGGGGTAGGCTCGCTTTCACTGAATTTATTTAGGAATCTTTTCAGGGGCCGGAAACAAGAGAAAATAAGGGAAATCTCTCTTGGGACGGGCCGTGAATCCGTGACAAGTTTCCGGCCTCCGCCCTGATCTGAATGCGAATTATCCTTCAGAAAATTATCCTTCCCTGGGCGGCCGTGTTTTCTTCCTCGTTAACGGGTCTGCCGTCGTCCTTGGCTCTGGATTCCTGGACAATTTCTGCCCTCCCAGGAGTCAGCCTTGTGCGACCGCTTCCCGGCCTCTTCCCCCCCACAACAACAACGACCGTCTCGCCCCATCGACATCAAAGGGGAAAAATTCAGAATTTCTTTATTGAAAAAGTTTTCGCAAGAAAAGTGACAAAAATAACACCACTAGTGGTGTACGTAACTAGTACAGTTAGTGAACGGTTCACATCACTAGTGTAAGCAACTAGTAGAGGTAGTGAACGATTCACTAATTAAGTTAGTGAACGATTCACACCACTAGTGTACGTAACTAGTACAGTTAGTGTACGATTCCTTAACTATTAGTGAACAATTCACCAATTCAGTTAGTGAACTATTCATTCACTCAACGATACACTAGTTGAGTGATCCTTTACTCAATAAAATTTAATGAACGATTCACTAAATCACTAAAACAATCAACCACTTTCAACGATTAACTCATTTATTGTCATTGAACGACTCACCCGTTCATTCACTGGATGAATCATTCATTAACTTGCCATTAATTTTAGTGAACGATCAGACCTTCGATCACAATGAACGATTCACTAACTGTATTAGTTATAAACACCAGTAGTGTACGTAGCTAGTACAATTGTTGACTAATTAAGTTAG